TTAGAATTTTGAATGTTAAATCATAATCTGTTAAATTTACACCTAGAACAAGAGCAGCAGTTGGAATTTCTCTGATTTTTAAGAACTCCAGTTTGTTATTTCATCTGGAATCCAGAATGAGACTTCTATAGAAATTCTATTAGACTGTTAAAATTTTATTTAATTGTTCTTGTAGTTGCTTAATGTTAGATTTCATCTGTTGCCATATCAACTGAAATGTTTCACATCACAGTTTGCTGTCCTTAGACACAAGTTTCCCTTCATTAAAATAGTCCTACAGTAGCTATAGTTGTAGCAGCCCACCGGATTCTAGCCATTACATTTTTAATAGCATAAAACTTTTTTTTTCTCTATAAACAGTAATATAACTTCATTGTTAAAAATTTATAAAATAAAGAAAGAAAAAAACACTCTAATACTGCCATGCTAACACACTGATGTTTTGGTAAATTTCTTTTCGGCCTTTTCCTTATCATATGTTTACACAGCTTTAATCTTACTGTACATACAATTTTATTTGACTTTTAATTTATTGTATGTACTTTCCATATTATAGGTTTCAATAACAGTAACTTTTCTTTTAATATTATGGAAATATTCAAACATAATCGAAAGTAGTGAGAATAGTACAATAAACTCCCATGTACCCATCACTTAGCTTCAATGAGTTTACAATACATGGCCATCTTGTTTGATTTATATCCTAGGAGTAATTTGAAGCAGATCCCAGATATCATATCATTTCACTTGTAAATACCGAAGTGAGTATCTTTAAAATATAAGAAAGTTTAAAAAACATAACCACAATACCATTTTCAAAGCTTAAAGAAAACAAACTAACAGTAATTCTAAGACTAAATAACATTCCCTTAATGAATAGATCATAACCTACTTAATCATTCCATTATTATAGGACATTTGCGTAGATTGCTTATAATTTTGTGTGATTATTAATAATGCTGTGATGAACAACTTCATGTGTATGACTTTTTCTCTAGTTTGAATTATTTCCTTAGGAAGGATTTCTAGAAGTTGAATAATGATACAAAAAGTCACATGATGTTTTAGCAAGTCTCCAGCTTTGTGTATTGTAGTAAGGGGTTCTTTGTTTAGGCACAGCAAACTGTAGGCCCAAGACCTTAACAGCCTTTTGGTGGTTTTAACAAAGAGGTGATTCGTTGCCCTTCTGCTCAGGGAATGCATTGCTGGCTCTTCATTACACCTGACCCTGTGTAGAATTCTTTGGCCATGTGGTGATATAGCCTACGTTTTATCTTCTTGCCACAAAAGTATGGCTAAGAGATTTAAGTTATTTTCCACATAATGATGAATTCCTTCTAACTTCTGTCCATTCCCCTTTTTGATGTGTTAGATTAAGAATCAAATTTGAATTTCATTTTCTGTGGTCATCCGCAGCTGCGCACATTATCTGGATTCTTTTCTTATAAAGTTGGCACTTGTTCTTTTTACCTAATGTGGAAAAGATTATGTAGTTGCAGTGTGATGGATCCCTTTTATATGGCCTTTCTCACCATGGTCTTGTAACTCCCACCAAATGATTGGGTGGGATTCTGTAATTAAGGTGTTTGTGGCCCAGCAAGGGGATTGGACAGCCCGCCAATAATGCAAACAAGGTGCATGGCACCCTCATGGAGGTGGAACCATGCAAATAAGGTGTATGGAACCCTAATGAGCTTTTTTATTCCATTTCCTCTCTACTGAAAGCTGATTAATTTCAATATTCTTGAAGCACTGTGATTTCTTCTCTTTTCAATTACCCACAGTTTCTCAAATATCCCACCTGCAAATGTGGTCAAGAGGACAGTAAGCTGCTTTTTTGAAACCTGACCCCACGAGCATTTTTCCCCTTTCATTTTCAGGGTCCTCTTAGGCATTGCCCTGTAAAATAGAGCAGTCTCGTTGGCGATTGCAATGTCTTTAGGATCATATCCCCTTGTGATCTCTTAATTTTGTGAACCAGTTTTGTTTTT